ATATTTAATTGTGATCACAAAAAAAGTTAAATTATAGATGTATTTATTAGCTAAGCGTTAAGCAATGGCTCATAAATGGAGGCATTCTTCCAATATTTGTAACAAAAATAGAGTACGTGTATAATAAAATAACAAATTAAACCAAATATAAATCCCAATAAAATCGCAGCCATAGGAATTTGTTCATTTGTTGCATTGTTCGGTAATAAATGAATTTCAACATTGACAAGAGTCGAATCACAATAACAAACGTTGTCTAGACCATTTCCTATAATGAAGTCAATAGTTTCATTTTCTCTGACAGTGATACCACTTTTAGTTGACTTGTACGATTTGAAATCACCGATACCAAATAAGTCAGTCTCCCAAAGTGTCAAGGAATTATTGTATACGATATAACCACCCGTATGTATAAAATTTGCATGATCATCAATATGTGTGAACATGACGCTTAGAATATAATTCCCATTCGTCGGTGCAGTAAACCTTGCTACAGAAAATTCACCGCCACAGGAAGGATGCATGCTTACACCATGTGGAGGATATGTTATTTTACTACCACCACCATCTAAAATGGTAGTTATTGGATTAGGATTATAAGCTAAACTTAGCGGTGTGTTTTCATGAGGTACCCAAAGGACTATTCCACTGCCTTTTGGATCTGGTATTAAGTGCGTAAACAAAACAAACGTCCCGGTAACTTGATAACCAGGTGGTTTATAGCCATAAGACCATACAGAATAAGGGTTTATAGTAGAAAAATCTGCACTTAATGACCATGCTGAAGCCATAATTTTTTTTTAATAAGTTATAAATATATTCTGTTTATTTATATAATAAAAGTTACGATGCACATGAGAGAACTTAAAAGTTCCTAGAAATTTCTTTACATAATGCCACTTGAATGCTTATAATGCGCTAAGCATAATAAGCACATGAATACTACATAAAATTTCGCATTTAGCATTTGATTTAGTAAAATTGATCAACTGACTATTTAAATAATGCAATAATGCTAATGCAACTATAGAGCTCTTTAAGAAGACTTTGAATAAGCCGGATTTTTTTTGGCCAAGATTTGCATTCATTTTTAGCGAAAAAATGGATAAAAGGAAACGAGTGTATTATAAGAATGAAAACATTTTATATTATAGCCTCAATGCTCAAATGCTTATGCATACTGTATGCGCAATGACACCGTCCAAATACAAATATGATTTTCTTTCTCAGTTACACAGATCACTAATTTTATCGACCAGTTAAAAATAATGATATGGGATTAATCAACCAATCAAATTGCGAAATTTACAAAAAAGGTTAAAATATGGGATTTAAGAGGATTCCAAAAAATATGTTGTAAAACAAAGTGAAGCTTCATGTTCGTTTAACCACTTTCAATACACGTAGAATGGATAAGTCAAGCGAGCCTTTCAAAAGGTATTGTAAAATAATATAAAAAAAAATTTGTAATAACAACGGTTCCTTCTGTTGCTGTATTTTGCCAATTAATGTTATTTAGCCTTTTAACATTTTTGCAAGTATCCTGACCTAGATCAACGCATCTGCTTTTAAAAAACTTATTATTTTTTTTGTTTTTTTACATCGAATTTTTTAATTATATATCATCAAAATTGAAAAACATATAACGAATAGACTAGTGGCAGTGATTTGAATCCAATATTACAGCTGTTCATAAATTTTGGTACATCTGGTAAAAATTGACTGAATGATTATTTGGCCACTCGATAAGTTATTGATTTCGGCATGATCAGTGTAATGTATAAATATTGAATGCGTAGCAGACAATAATAAAGAATTATGAAAGGAAACTATAATGGCTCAATTATTTATTCAATAGATCAGTACTTTATAAATAAGCAGCAAAACCCAGAAGTAATAATCAACTTATGTTTAAATAACAAACAAACCCTATTAGTCAATCCAATTTATCATTCAACATTTTCTATCAATTTGTTATCAATTTGAATGGGTTAAAAATAATAATCAAGCATTTATTAATAACAATGGCAGCAGAGATGGAAATTCTATTGGAATGTGTGATATTAGCTTTTGTGTGAGCATGGAATTGGAGTTGAAAAGACATTAATAACCCATTTATTTACTAACAACAATCAGCATGTATGGAGATTCTTATGGAATTAATTTTCTAGATCATTGTTATCAAAATAGAATTTAAATTAAAAAAGATAATAATAAGGCATTTATTTGTTATCAAAAATCAATTGAAATGGGCCATGCCATAGGAATGAACAGCTTTGGATATCGTTATAAAAAAGGAATTGGTGTTGAAAGGATGAATTAAGCAATCATTTATCATCAAAAATCTGCTAATATGGGTAATTCTAGTGGGATAGATAATCTTGGACACTGTTATCAAAAAAAAATTGGAATTGATAAGTATAATAGATAATCTTGGATATTGCTATCAAAAAGGAATTGGAGTTGAATAGGATGGATATAAGGAGTTCCATTATCAAAGATCTTCTAACATGGGTACTGCTGATGCAATAAATTCTGTTGGATATTGCTACATAAATGGAATTGAATTGAGAAGAATGAATATAAGGTATTATCAAAAATCTGCTGACATGGATAATAATATACAGTCTTGGATAACGTTATCAAAATGGAATTAGAAGTGAAAAGGATGAACCTAATGTAATTATTTTGAATCAAAAATCAGCTAGCACGGGTTGTTCTGCTGCAATATTTCAACTTGGATATTACTACATATATGTGACTGACGTTGAGACTAACAATCACAGCGTTTAATTATTTTCAACAATTTGCCAACATGGAAAAAACGCAGTTGGAATGACCTTTTTTTGGATATAGTTATCGAAATGGAATAGAAATTATAAAAGACTTAAAGAAAGATAACTTGTAGTATAAAAGTAATATCATTATTTTATACTAATTTGTTCATTTATACAATTACATTTCCTACAATGTGTACTGTAAATTCTCGAAATAATCCCAGGGTGAAATAAAGAATTTGGCTCAAAATTAAGATTAATTCAAAGTAACGCTCAGCCACTATTTATTAATTAACACTACGTAAAAACAATTTTTATTTGCTAAATGTATTAATAAAAAAAGGTAAATTATTTTGATTCTATTGTATAAGTGATAGTCATGACCAATTTTGGGGGATGGCTAAAGCCGTGAGCGTTATTTTGAGACAAAAAAAAATTTAAGTATTTATATAAAAAGTAGATAAACAAGCAAACCTTCCTTCGAGCTTAACAAATGTTGTTCTAAAGAACAACATTTGTTAAGCTCGAAGGAAGGTTTGCTTAGTACAAAATCCAGTTCTTACTATAAATAAATAACCCTTATTATAGGGTGCGCGCTATTTTTGGACACATGGGCGTTATTTTGAAACTATACAAATAATATTTTGGTGGCACGATTTTCGAAATAACGCTTATGAGTGTTATTACGCGAAATACGGTAAAAAAAAAATCGATTGACATCTATACAGTAATTATAGCTTCTTAGTTTGAAAGGTGGTAGTAATTAATGGGTGGTGCTCATTTCACCGACAATCACTTCACCGACAACTTAGTTCACCGACAATTAATTCACCGACAAGTTC